TTCCAGGAGAGATTTGGATGCTAGGGTTTAGGGTGTGACTCGTGAGAGTTTACCTGATGACGTCATCTGAAATAAAATCTGGGGCATTGGTTTCATTGCAAGACCTACATCCATCTTCCTCTTATATCAAGCAAGGGCCTTCGTTGAGAGTAACTGGAAAGTAAGACTCGTGCCCTTTCAATGCTTTAGTGGTTTCATTCAATTGCATTATATCAAATATCCAGCGCGTTTCTTCTTCAGTTACGAAAGTTTTTAACTTGGAAGGTTCTCTTAACTATATTTGTAGATTGGCTGAGTAGGGTACAAGTAGTTTATAGTTTAGGCTGGCTTTGTTGGTCTTGGTGGTGACAGTGTTGGTATCATAAACTGATGGAGACGAGTGGTAGAAAGAAAGATGAACTAGAGGTGGAATTGCTGATACAGACATTGGAGATGTGATAATTTCAGCATTTCGTTTCGGGTTCTGTCGCAGTATTTCTTGAAACGATTCTAGTCTAGTTTTGGTTCATTGTGAATATCATGTTCATGGTATAATAGTGTTGGAGTGGATGCAGAACTGGCCAAAAAGATCTTCTGGAGGCAAATGTGGCATCTCCAGTTGGTGGCATTGAGTCACATTGGTAGCATGATGTGGATGGAGTGATTGTAATGATTGGAAACATGTTACTAATACAAAAAATAATTGGGAATAGGTCAACTGATTCAAATAATTGTGGATTGTCTTACACAAGAGGGCTGATGATAGCTTCATTGAATTTAATTGCATTGCTCATATTTATTCCCCAATATCATTAAGAAGCTTAGTCATTAGCATGTCTTGTTTCTTTCTCAGGTTACAAGAGTATTCTGTAGAGACAGCCATTGCCACAATTGTGTTGATGGAAGTGACAGCTTAAAAATCAACATCCAACACCTCAGGGAGCTTAGCTTTCGAGTCGGATCCATCTACCAGTTCATCGGCGAGCCGCTTATTCAACCCGATAATGAGGTTATAAGTGGCAAATTACATCCACCTGATGATTTTCAGTGCTGGGCTTCATCACAACACATGAATGTTATGTTAATTATGTTAGAGCAATAAGCTCAATTGTTCTTGCTCTTTTTTCAGGCAGCCTTGCAGGCACGTGTGGATAGGAATGTTGATGGCATTGATCTCAATCTCTATTATCAGTCTCTCCAATTTCAGGGTCATCATTTGAAGAACCCAGCAACTTAAATATTGTAATTTTAAAGTCAATTTAAAGACCAAATTACCCTCTGCATCCAACCCATCAAACGATGCAAATTGAAATCGTAATGGCAAAAAGCTCAAAGCCAATGGCCCAATGATGACTTCACAATTGTCAAAAGATGGGCCTTGGGATTTATATTTATTTGGCTTCATCTGTTTATTTAATTAATAATTTCTTTTTTATTAATTAGAAATTCGTTTTCAAATAAAATCATTATTTAAAATTCGAATGTGTTAAACATTTAATGTAACTGTTGGATGAAGAAGCGTTAGACCTCTATATATTGACAATTCATCCAAACCAGAAAACACAATTTTGAAACTGCATTATCATTCTCACACGTAAACACTTATTTAGAGAAATCATATTATCATCTTCCATCCCCTATGTTTTAGTTGACCAACTCATGACTTCCCCTTATTCCAATTTCCAAATAATAGTAAATGCCACACGAGTGTTGATAATTGGTGGTGGCTGATCTCTCTCCTTTGCTCTTTGACCAATAATAAGGTTTCTCCACCCCATACTTCCATTTCCATGCATGCCAATGCCCCATTAACTTTCTATTTGTCTGGGTGCCCTGAAAATGATCCAGCAAGCTCCGAAGATGCCAAGCTCGTGCTCTTGCAGTTACCAAATTATTTTTACTTTTTACTACATGGATAAATATTTATGTTTGTGCTTGAGGATCTTCCTCTCTGTCGTCAAATGGAGGTATAATAGATTTGCAAAATAGAATGTACGAATGAGATATGCTACAAATCTGTGGCTCTAAAGCAAGTCAAAGTCAAAGACTCAAAGATATGCTCGCCTCAGTTTTAAGTAACAAACAAGATTAATCTTGTCAACCTCATCACTAGTTCAAGTTAATGAAGGTACGTGATGCATACGTGGATTTGTGAGAAATTAATTACGGCTCCAAAGGTGTAATTTATGAATGCAATTTCTTTACTGTTTGAACAAAAAATAAAAATAAAAATAAAAAAAGCATGGGCGGCTTCCATACTTAATTAATTAATTAATTATCGAAATCTAAAACATTTTTTTTGGATGGTATAATTAAGCAAGGATAAAAATATGGCCAATCTAATTAGTTAATTAACAATAAAATATGTTCCATTCAGTTGGATATGTTCAAGGTTTTCCCACCAACCAACTACTGTGTATCATCTTTATTATACTTAGCAAGAATTCTAAAGTGAGGCCTTATATATGGCCTTTAGGTGAGCTTCTATCTCTTAATCGTTGGATCAAATTAGTTAGCGTGATCCAACAGTTAAAATATAAGTAAATTTAGGTTTTAGCAAAAAAAAAAAATTTACTTTTGAAAAAAGCCAAAGCTTTTTCAAAAAAGACAGAAAAACCTCTCAACTTTCAAATCAAAGACATGCAAATGTAAAAGATTTCTTAGGAAATCCAAAAATAAATAAGGGCAATTTTGTCCATTTTGGCTTCTTTTACAAAATTTCTCTCTCCTTTGTGTTTTTCCAAAGTCTCCCTAAAATATAGGACCTCACCTAAGGGCCATATATAAGAGTCTCACTTATACTTAGATATTCTACTTTGCAAGAGAAGGAAAACAAAACAAAAAAAAGGTATATGCATAATGCTGCTGTGCGGGTTGTATTCAATTAAGATTTTAATAAATTGTTTTGAAGCTTAAAAGTTCAGTGGTATCTAATTAGGATTTTTAAGTAATCAATACAAATCTGGTGGTATTCAATTAATATTTTTAAATAATAAATCCAAGTTTGGTGATATTCAATTAGGACTTTTAAAAGATAAGAAAAAGTACATTGGTGTTAAAAAAACTTATCGATTTTGAAGTATCTCATTAAATAGTGCATTGTGTGAGATTTTTGAGTGGGTGATATAAATATCAAACTCCATAAAAAAATCCCACCCTCCTATGCCCGATTCTCATGTTTTTTGTTTTGTTTTGGGGGAAGATGAACAAATGAAGATAAACATAGTACTCATGTCTAATTACAACAGCTTGGTTTAACTAGACTCGATCCTTCTGTATTTAATGGATATACTCAGATGGCTTACCTTCATCTAAACAATAATTTTAGAGCTGCCTAGATTTATTATGCAATATGCATGCATTTTTCTCAACAGCTTTTCGGCTCCTTTATTGCCTTTCATTTATATGTCTTTCTTTAGTCAATTTGTGGGATCAATCTAAGTGACAAGTTGGACCATTTTGACTTGTTTTCAGCTGTCCATTTTCATATTTGAATTAACTTGTCTGTTGTAATATTTATAAATTAAATTAATTCAAGATTTTTTCTTGGTGTAACTTGTTCCTATGTCAATTTTCAGTTCCAGACTAACTTCTCCGTCCAAAACTTAATAGCCACATGGTTTTAGTTTCATGACAGTTGTGTTTGAAGATGGCTAATCCGAATTCTATTCACACTTCGGCCAAATCTACTCTGAAGAGTACAAAAAAGTATGTGAATTAAAATCATAAATAAAATCTTATAATTACCATATATTAAAATCTCAATTGAATACACCCTTAAGTTTGTAGGTATAATTATCAAGCTTTTCAAAATAAAATAAGCACAAAGTTGTTGGTTTCTGTTTTTTTATTTTTTTTTTGTATGTGTGGGGAAAAATGCTTTTGTTAGATCATGTAATTATCCACAATGCAAAAGTGCTTTTAATTAAAGTTAATTGTCTTGGAGTCCGAGACGCTTCTAGGTTTCCAACTATGATTAAAACTTAAAAAGAGGATGGATCTTTACGCATGTTTTATTCTACTTGATACTGATTAGATGCCATCCACTTGCACAAGTTGAATCCCTGTGTGAATGTCCCAAATGGCTATGCCATGATAAAGAGACACACTTGTTGTGGACTACACCGTCATGATCTTGCTGGGTGAATGATTTTATATTTTAAAATAATTCTCTGGATGATTCTTTTCTTTGCTTGGTTCAAAAGAAACTTATCATTGTCTTGAGTGTTAAAAACATATTATTTCTGTTTTGACGTTGCCAGAAACCATTGTGCGTTACATAATTAATAATAAATGTTATGTGAGTGAGAAAATATTTCTCTATACTTCTCACGTTACACCTCATGTGATAGAATATGTCAGTTGGTTTTGTGTCGGTGATTATAAGCCACTAATTTAGCAAGAGCAGACTGCAGACATTCGAGGCTTCAATCAAAGTCAAAATCACTTGTTTTCTTTTGGCACATTCCCATTGGCACAAATAGAAAGGTCTTTGTGATATGATAGACTAGTTACTTTTCCCACCTTGAAAGCATCCATTATTGTTTTATATTTCGGCTAATGGCTTTTGATCATCATCCCCTGTTTCCTGCCTTTGAAAACTTTAGCTTCGACTGTTCATCAAGTCGGCACGACTGCTGCCCAAGGCCTCATCAGCCGCTTTTCTCTTTTCGTCGCATATTTTTATGTCCTTTTTTTCTAAGGTGACAACTTCAATAATGACTAAATCAATAGATTCTGTTGACAACAATCAAGCTAATTAGGCAAAATTTGGTTTCAATTCTCAGGGTCTGCATCAGATATTCTTTATTTACTCAGTTTACGACGTTCCCTTTAAAGTAATATTTTTTAAAATACATTCAATAATTTAAAATACAGAGAAGAGGATTTCTCACACACACACAATTATGATGCCGTGAGAATTCGAATATGAGACTTTTTCATTGGGCTAGACCCTTTGGAAAATCAATATTTTTATAACCAAAAAAAAAACACAACAACAATAATAGTTATCTGAGAATTGGTAACGTAACAGTTTATTAACAAACTGGCACAGGAATAGCAAACTGACAAATTCTCAGGTCATATTATTTACTATAAATTTAGTTTCTACAAACATCAGATTGATATTTGATACCCACAATAGTAATTTAACTGAATTTTTAAAGAGACAATAAAAAACTTTAGCCACACCCATAATTACTTTAAGCAAACAACCTTTCCAGCTTAGTAAAGCTTAATTTCTTTTAAGCTGTTGCAATTGGACCCAAACTGATATTGGTTTCCACTGCTTTCATGGCTTCAAATCTTGGCTCTTTGGGCTGGAACTTGAGGCCAGCATAGAGCTTCATGTAGTCTTCGAACACGAATTTCGGGTACACTTGATTCTTCTCCTCTGCTTCTTTCTCCACCAGTGTTGGTGCAGGGTAGATGACAGCATCACTGCCAGGGTTGTAGAAGGAAGCTATTGACATTCTGGTGCCATCAGTTTGGGCAATCACTCTGTGCTCCACGCTCTTGTACTTCCCGTTAGTGATCACCTATAGGGAAAATTTATATGTAAGTAAATTTAATATTAATTGGGCATGAAATAACATTCATTCGGAATATTGGATTACCTCAAGTTGGTCACCAAGGTTGATAACAATGGAGTGGCGCATGGGAGGCACATCAATCCATTGGCCATCCTTGAGGAGCTGCAGACCACTGACCTTGTCATCCTGGAAGAGCAGGATGAGGCCGCCGGCATCGGTGTGAGCCCGGAGACCCTTGATCAGCTCAGGGTTGGGACAAGGAGGGTAGTTGCTAACCTTGGTGCCAAAAGTTGGTCCATTTGTTCCATAGAAGGCCTTCTTGAGGTACCCTTGTTCAAGTCCAAGATTCTCACAGAGCAAGTCTAGGAGCTGCTCTGCTAATTTCTCCAACTTCAATGCAAATTCCTTCATCACATTCCTGCATATTTCATGTAAATTAATCTCTCTAAAGAACAAGCACCAGCTAGCTAGCTAGCATTATGTTCAAATTAATTATGTACAGAGAAATTTAAAAGTAGTGTGTGACTGGTTTTACCTGTACTGATCCTCAAGATCTGGAACTTCAGATATGTTAGATTTTGGAAGATGGCGCAAGTAGAAGGTGCTTTCCCAGTCCATATCATTGACCTCTGTCTTGACAGCCTCAAGGCCCTTGCTGGCCACCAGCTCCTTGAACCTCTGCTCCAAGCACTGCCTGTAGTGTTCTTTAGTCAACCTCTCCACTGTGTCCAAAAACTCAGTTGGTATCCCATGACTCACAAGCTGCAATATTTGTGAATCCAAACTCATCATATATAAGGTGAATTTTGATGAAGATAAAAGATGAACAGAGCAAAGAAATGAAGAAGCTAAGCCTATATATAGCTTAGTATATAATTACCTCAAAGAAGCCCCAGTTCTCACAGGCATCTTTGATTTTTTCCATTGTTGCTTTCCTTCCCTCTCCATTGAGGCCCTCCAAGTTGATGATTGGGAAGTTCTCCATCTCTCTCTTTCTGTGTGTACGTTTCTCTCTCTCTCTCTCTCTCTCTCTGTATGTTTCTATCTCTCTCTCAACAAGTGTTGTTAATTTCGTTCTTGTGGAGTAGAGTTTGGGGTGGGTGGGGTATTTATAGGAGTTTAAAGTGTACAGTGGACTTTGACAAGAATAAAAATAAATGAAATAAATGGTAGAAAGCAAGCAAATTACTGTAGGGTGGATGAGGACAGGTTTTCAGGCTAAGGGAAATTTTTGGGTAAAGAAGTATTCTACAAGGAATGTGTTAAAAAATTCCAAAAATATTACAGAGGCTTTGTAGGGTGGCCCACCATCTCTCTGTGGAAGCAAATGAAAAAAGAAATTAAAAAGGAAAAAGAAAAAAGAAAAAAAGAGAAAACCTTTCTCTCCTCTGTTTGAGTCTTTGGTTGGTAATTTAGTTGGACCACCACCATGTTGGTGTCTTGGTCATGGTGGCTGGCTGATCGATCTCTTCTTTGTGCTTTGACCAATAATGAGGTTTGGCTACCCCACACTTCCATTTCCATGCAGGCCACAATTCTCACATTTGGATTTCTCTTTGTTTGGATATGCCCTGAAAATGATCTATGAGGAAGTTGCCTACCTCTTTCTCTTTACCCTTCCCAAACTCTGCGTCTCTCCACCACCAAAATTCTTTTTAAGTTTTTTAATACATGGATTTTATGTGTGTCAATACGTGGGTATTTTACCATTTTATCCTTTGTCCTCGATTGACGAGAGTACAAATTATCAGTGTTAGATTTTGAGTTAAGTAAATGGACATGTGACATAAATGGAGAGAATATGGAGGGACGCCAAATTTGGAAACAGCAGATCTCCTCCTAAGCAATTCAGATGTATATATACATTTATAGATTAATCTTATATTATAGCCATAATTAACTAAGGTGCCAAACAACGTGGGCGGCTTTCCATTCTTGATTAAATTTAGCATCAAAATCTAATACATTTTCTTTGATTATATATATATATATATATATATATATATATTTAAGACTAGCAAGATGCCAATCTAATATCCTGGATTAACTATAAAATCCGATAAGGAATTTGCTTACTAAGTTAGATATGTTCAAGATTTTCCCGCTGACGAACTATATAGTCAATTATGTGAATTGTGTGTTTGTGAGATAATCTTTCGATTAATAACTTAGCTTCATTTGTCCCTTGAGAAAAGAAAAAAACACATTCGCTGATAGATTAATGTCGTCTATGCTGATTAGGTATTTCAATTTGATCTTAATTAATAAACTCTAACTTGCTTTTTAAGGACGAATCTTGCAGAGAAAACCACTAGACGTCGAAAGCTTTTGGCTGATCAATGAGCTAATTAATTGAATTGATGAGTTTGATGCAAACACGAATCATAACGCAAATAAATTAGCAAACCCATTCATATATATATCTTTCCTTACTTTCCATTTGCTTTTCGTTTACGTATATATAGGTTAATAAGAAAGCAACATTATGATTTTGTAGAGAAGCATTGTTGCCATGTGCACTTCAGCATCATAATAATTAACTCTTTTTTTAGGTCTGAAAATAATAATGAAATTCGTCCTCTACCAAGATTAAGAGCATAAGAGGTCTTGGGCACAAACAGATAAGGCGATCGCCGAAAGCCCCAATTTGTATAATACCGCATGTATACACACCTCTACCAAGATTAAGACAAGGGCATCTTTGTAAGTTCATTATTGTTTGGATAGAAACCAAACCACCCGAGAAAGGAGGAGGATATAATTTAAATTGGTCCATGATGTGGGGGACTACAATGCACTGACTAAGAAAAGCCAATAAAAAAATATATTATCTACTCTTCATCTGTTTGGGTGTTATACTCAACAACAACAACAGAATACTATATATCTTTTTATAACATGAAGAAGATGGGAAGAGATTGAGTGATCACTGTCTCCACAGGCATGAGATTCACCTATATCCCTTTGGCTTTGCATGCCTTGATGTGACCTTAGCCAATCCAATTCTCCCAAATTTTGCATTGTGTAACCCGGTAAATTTATATATAACCTTCTTCAACTCAGTCACTCATCCCATCAAAAGTTTTAACTTTGAGAGGTTCTCGAACTCTCAATGTATAATTCAGACACTTTTAAGAAAGATGCCTATGTAGAGAGTTAGTCACTGCTGATTTACAATGTGAAGGGGGTTCTGAAGTTCCTTCTAATACGAAATTAACATTCTTTTCTACAGATAAATTACAGTATGACATATGTGCATACGCTTTTTCTTTTGTAATTTACATAAGTTAATTTCGCATATGTGTATAATTAAAAATCAAAAGTAACTTCTGAAACAAATTTTAAATAATTTCTTCTTCGTTCTTTCATCACCTGATGTGTCTCTTGTAACTTAGCAGGTAGTGGAAGACACAGTGATCCTTGTAAGGAAGCAGATGACCCTTTAGATTAGGCTCCTTTCACAATCCAATTCACCCATGACACCATCCATATATAACACAATATTTTAACAACTTTCATATAAAGTATTAAGTAAAGTATTAGTTTATGGGAAGCAAAGAAATCCTGCATGAACTAATGGTCGGTAAATGGCATGGCACTGAATTGGATAAAAGTAATGGGTTGAGTCAAACCCCATTTCGCACACAACAAACCACTTATGGAAAGCATTGCACATGCCATGCATCATATAATTGCTTGCAAGCCCGTGATGATGATCAATTGATCACAAATGTGGCTCCTACCACTCCCACCACCACTACACTCTCTTTGTGAGTTTTTAGTGCAGAGGAAAGGTACCAAGTTCAAGATAAGAACATCTATTTGCAAGCAAGCTCCCAATCCCCCCCAATTTGTGGAGCCAGATTTTTCAATTTATTGGGTTTCTTTTAATTCAGGCACAAAATTGCATAAAATAGTAGTGGGACAAATATCACGATTATAGGATATATGAGATATTAGAGGAAGGAATTCAAAAATATAGGACCTCGAATACGCACCAATAACTGCTTTTAACCATTTGAGGAACAAACACATTGCAAATTGAGAGTTATGTCCCTATATATGCCCCATATAAAGATTTACGTGTACAACTTTGGAATGAACCTTTTGGACCATTAGATCCGTTTGGTGGCTGCGATGTGAATGAACTTTCATGTCTATCCAGTAATTCCATAAATGTGGTAGAAAATTGCAAGTTGTCCACATCCGACAGGAGACAACCGAATGGAGAAGTAATAACCAAAAAATGGGGGCTTTCTTAAATTCCCTAGCATTCTTGATATCTATGATCTATTCCCTTTCCTTCAATTTGTATTATCTGTTTCCTCTGCAAATTTCTGTTTTTGGACTTGTGGTGACAACGTTTGGAAATCGTCTTGTTTCTTCTTTCTTGGTTCAAATCTATGACTATTCACTAACGACTGTTGACCGGTAAATGTAGGAAAACAGTGTGTCCCGGACCCGAAGGTCACGCCATGCCACACTCTCATCACCTTGCAGTAAATTGCTGGCACTGTTGGCTTGACCCACCTAACCCATTCTCTATTCAATTTAGTCACGTATGCTTCTCAGTTATTTCTTCCCAACCTGCAATTACTTGACAAACTTGACAATTACACATGTTTCTTAACCTAATTTAAACGTTGTTTGGTCCTTATATCAGTTTCGCATGTGGTATATGGTATGTATGTATGACTTTCTCACATGAGGCAAGACCTTGACCGCATTGTAAAATCCGTATAAAACTAACTTATTCGAACGAATTTGTGAAACGTAATTGTGAGAAAAACAGTTCAGCCTTATCGCATTTATCACTATAACGTGATAGCCAAGCCTGTGTAACATTGTTACATTACATCAAGTCAGGAAAATTAATCGCTTGAGACGTTATCATATCAATTGAGAGAGAGAGAGAGAGAGAGAGAGAGAGAGAGAGAGAGTCAATGTGATATGTGTGGCACAGCGGCAGATCATTTTCAACCAGCACGTGAATTTTATAAAACAATAATTTTGTATGTATTTGCACAAATATTTAGTCTTCTCTTCTGGGTGGCTAGTCAATTGTGAAAAAAGAAAAGGGAGGGAGAGAAAAACGAATAAATTGATGGCTATGACTTTTGAATTTTGATCAACTAGGCCATTGGTTACGATTTCACCAAATCATGATAAACGCTACGTATATATTAATCACATGGTTAATTGAACCCTAATCATCCTCCACAGAAGAAGGCAAACTAAAAGATTTCCTTGAATTGAAGGATGGTGTATTCAATTAGGATTTTAATAAATTATTTTGAAGCTTAAAAGTACAACAGTATTCAATTAAGATTTTTAAGTAATCAATAAAAGTCTGGTGGTATTCAATTATGATTTTTAAATAATCAATACAAGTCCGGTGGTATTTAATTAGGACTTTTAAAAGATAAGAAAAAGTACTGCGGTATTCAAAAACTTACTGATTTTAATGTATTTTATTAAATGGTGCATTGCATGAGACTTTTGAGTGTGATATATACATACCAAATCACATAACAAATCACACCCTCCTATGCATGATTCTCATATTGAAAACTAGGGCATTGGTTATGACTTCACCAAATCATGATAAACGCTAAGTATATATTAATCACATGGTTAATTGAACCCTAATCATCCCCCACAGAAGAAGGCAAACGAAAAGATTTCCTTGAATTGAAGGATGGTGTATTCAATTAAGATTTTAATAAATTATTTTGAAGCTTAAAAGTAAAACGGTATTCAATTAGGATTTTTAAGTAATCAATAAAAGTCTAGTAGTATTCAATTATGATTTTTAAATAATCAATACAAATCCAGTGGTATTTAATTAGAACTTTTAAAAGATAAGAAAAACCACTGCGGTATTCAAAAACTTACTGATTTTAATGTATTTTATTAAATGGTGCATTGCGTGAGACTTTTTGAGTGTGATATATACATACCAAATCTCATAACAAATCACACCCTCCTATGCATGATTCTCTTATTGAAAACTAGAGCATTGGTTATGA